TCGCCGCGCCATCTGCATCCGGTGCAGGAGCCCTCACACGACGGTAGAGGATCGCTCCAGCATTATGAACGAAGTCGTGCGCCTCAACGAAGAAGGTCGCCAGAGGATGCTTCTGGGCACGGAGAGATCTCGAGCAGTGAACGTCCAGTGTAGGGTGTGATCATGATTGAGCCGCGTTTGTTGCTGTGTTCCGTACACCGCTTTGTTGCTGTGTGCTCTCTGCCTCACGGTCTTGCTGACTGAGTTTTACTCGCATAAGGTAAAAAAGCTTGTTCCTGCTTTGTTCTGCTTGAGGCACTTTTTACCTTCTGCGAGTAAAACTCAATGTCCTGAAAAGTGCCTCACTGTCAAGCAGAAGAAGAGGGATGAACGCTCGAGGAGGCCCCCCCGGGAGTGAGAAGTTTTACTCGCAGAAGGTAAGAAGTGCCTCAAGCAAAAACAGCAGGAACAAGCTAAACCTGCATGCAATGTTGCAAACAGGGCAGGAGGAGTAGTCAAGAGGGATGAACGCGCGGCTCGAGGAGGCCCGAGTAGTCATGGCATATCCAGCCAGGTGCGAATCTTCTCCAACGCTGCAATATGGAGGGCGTCTGGAAGAGCTACCAATATAGGGGTGGACCAACGTCACGTCCGCCATCAAGACCTCATCTCAGTCGTACTGCTCAGACCCACGATCGCATATCCCAGGGATTAGGATATCGGCCTTTTTTTTGTGCCCATGATTTGAGGATGGGAGCCTCGGATACCTGCCTTGCTTCGGGGGTATAGGCCCTCATTTACTGGCAGAAGGTAAAAAGTGCCTCAAGCAAACAAAGCAGGAACAAGCTAAACCTCCTGGCACACAGCGCACAGCGAGAAGCTGCACAATCACACACAAAACACAAGCCCGAAAAAGAACCAGCACTGCTGGCACCCAGACGCGGCATCGCCAGCCCAAGCGCGAAGCCGCGCAGACAAGCAGCCTAAGGGTCAAGCAATCAAGCAACAAGCAGCAGGAGCATGCAGGAGGAAGAAAATCCCTTACACGCGATACCCGGAGGCAGCCGACTGACCACTGTCAGTCGAGACGTCCGCTGCCGCCACAAAGCGGGCGGCCGCGGACGGAGAAAGGGCAGCCGCCGACAAGGAGCCGGCGTTGCCCGGGGGTCCGCCTGGGGCAGCGGACGGAGGGAGGCTGGACACAGGAACACGGTACCGCTCGAGGTAGTCCTCCTCGCTAGCCTCCGAGTCAGCATAGTGGATTTACTGGCAGTAGGTAAAAAGTGCCTCAAGCAAAATAAAGCAGGAACAAGCTAAACCTCCTGGCACACAGCGCACAGGCCTTGGCTCGCAAACGCGCCGCCACCTATCAGCGCCTCACTATGCAGCTGACGCTAGAGGCGCTCTTGTCTGGTGCGAGGCGCATGACGCCCTTGCGGGCGCAAGCACTTCTCGAGCCAGAGGACAGCTCCTCCTAGGACTTTGTCGAGTCGCCCGAGGGGGAGTCTTCGCCGGAGGTCTCCGACTCCGATCATGATGGGGGAAACACGTCGAGTGGCCCCGACGATCGGCGCGGAGCTGGCGAGGCGTCTCCGTCCCTCACTGTGACGTCGGGTGCCTCCGGAGAGCTCGACACCACTGGGGTGCTTGCTGCTGGTCCGAGCTCGCCTGCTTCCTCCCCGGCATCGGTCGGGTCACGCCGGTCCTTGGGCATTGCCGCGGCGTCGCCG